CTAAATCTTGAGCACACAATTGAATTACTGATTAATATGAGTGAAATGTTGTCCCTGGTGCAGATATTAGCTGCAAATGCCCGAAAGGTTAGTGCTGTTCGTTATGAGTAGATAAACAACGAGGAAGCAATGTCAGAGGCCAAAGATGTAACTCGATTGATTCCCAAAATCATGAAGAGGAAAGGGAACAGTGACAAATTGGATAACATTACCTATGATGAGAATGCATTTCAGAAGAGATAAGAGAATTGCCTTTCTGATAACTATGCAGTTCTGAAGATAAATAAGATAATGGCCATTAGCTACATTGCATATTCTGTTTTCGTTTTCTTTAGCTCCTTTTCCTTCTTGTATTCTTATTGCCCCGTGAAGAAGAAACGAAAGGAAACCACAGGATTACTATGTAGACTGACATTGTAATACTTTTTCACAGATGAAGCGAAGTATCAACATCTGAAATATCATCATGGTAAGTTGTGCACATGACACTGTCTCTGGACTATAAATGCTCCAATAGTGGAGTCTGAATGGCCTGAACTTGGGTATTCCTGCTCTGCATACTGGCTTCTCTTTCGAGTGTACACCGAAGAGGCAGCTGTGAAAGCATGAGTTCAGGGTGGAAAAGCGATCTAGATGGCACTAAGATATAGCTGCATTGATCTACCTTGATTCAGGCAACATCGGTAAGAGCTCTTTCTCCTGCCTCATCTCCTTGGCTCTCTCCAACTGTCTGAACCTTTCTTGCAGAAGGGCAATGGATGGATGAACGACTGTTGGATCAATCTGTCTATCTCCACTCATTGGAAGATGAAGAGTACACTTTAAGGAGATTTCAAATGCATATGCTCATAATATAGGACATAGCTAGGACTTTAGATTATTTTAATTCATTCATTTCCGGCTATTTGATTCTGTACGACTATAAGTTTGGAATGGACAAAGGCAGCTGAGCTGCAAAGTGGACGGACCTTCCCATTATATTTAGCTTTGAACATTCTCCTTTTTTCATTTGTGGACAACACAAAGCTTGAACGTTGTGAACACAATTCGGACTGTGATGTTTTTATCAAAGAAAACCATTTTATGGTGAGGTGAGAAAAGAAGAAGAATCTACCAAAGCCAAGTCCTTCTTTCTCTCTGTACATGTTTTGTTTTGTCTTGAAGCTTTTGGATGGAAATGGCATGGAGATGAAAGTTAAGACATTAGATTGGATCTGTGGTTGTTGGGGGAGTGAAATTTGAAATGCAACATGTACCCTAAAGCTAG